GGAGCGGGGTTCTGCCGCGCTCGGACCTCCGCGCGCCGAGTTCGTGGCGGCGCCGTCCGCGTCTCGGCCAAGCTGGGGACGCGGTCCCTGGACCAACACTGCCACCTGCTGCCCGACCCGAAGAACTGCCACGACCCTCTGGGTGTCGCGGAGCCCGAGGAACGCGCACCGAGCCGAAGGCTTGCTTTGCTTTCTTACGAAGCTGCGAGACTGGGTGAAAGACATTTATGTTGTAGACGTTTGCGTAGTTTCCTGCCCTCCATATACTTACTTAGCTTTGGGAATTGAATCAGGTCCCGGAGCATGCTAGGCAAGTGCCCTACTACTGAGCTACACTGCAGTCCTGCCGCTTACTGGTGAAACTTCTACGTCTAGATAATGAACAGAGCGTTTGCGATCAGCGTGGACCCGTGAGGAAGCTAGCCGAGTATTTGTGCTCTGCTCATAAGTGAGGAGACCTGGTATCTCGGGCTCGATGACCTCAGCCCAGTGCTTGGTTCACTGCAAGGTGCTGTCCCTAAGGCTGGTCCTTTCGCGACCACATCAGTTTAGTCACAGTCGGGAAGAAAAGAAGGAAGGTCGTTTTATTCTCCCGGGGAGGAACATCCGCTGCAGAGTGAGCAGACAGGTTTGTGAGTTTGGGTTCCTGTGAAACACCCCCGTGTGCGAACGCCTGGTGCCCACCCATCGCTGGAATGCCGGCTGGACCGCGGGAGACCCGCACAGCCGCCCGGGCTCCGGTGGGTGCAGCTCCTGGGAAACACGCTGCAAAAAAGCAGGAGCTGCCGCTGTGAGAGACCTGCACCTGGGTCGCCTGGGCTGAAGTTCCGAGACTGAACTGACGGGTGCAGAGAGGAAACAAGATGTGTATTGAGAGTCTTCCTATATAATTCAGGCTGGCCTTGAACTCACAACGATCCTCCTGCCTCAGCCTCCCTAGGGCTGGGATTACAGGCGTGCGCCACCCTGCCCTGGGAGATGTGTAATTTTCACAGTTAGAATTAACTTAGGAGCTCTGAAATTAACTGAACCTCAGAAATCTGAACCTTGAGGTCGCCAGTGGCTTTGGGGCTGTGTGTGTCCGTGGCCTTTAATCATGCCGGGGTGGGGTGGGGTGGCCCTCGGTGTTTGTGGCCTGCAGTGGGACGTGTTGTGCTGCCAGGGGAGGGAAGCTGCCGCTCTGGCCTGGTGAGAACAGCTCTGCTGCGGGCGGGGCTGCCGCCGTCTGCTGTCTGTTTACTCTCCAGCTTTGCTGGTGCAGTCATCCTCAGTGGCACGTCCCGGGCGTGTGCAGGGGTGGGTGACACACTTCAGAGAAAGGGTCGCTGCAGTCAGATTTGTTTGTTTGTGGGGCTGTGTCCATCCAGCTTCAGTCTTCGCAGGGTCCAGGGTCGATGGACCTGAGGTAGCCGGGGCAGGGCAGTGAACTCCTGGCCTGGGAAGCCTCGGCCTTCTTACCCACCTACCTGCCTGTGGGTGGGAGAGCCTGCAGGCTGTGTGAGCCTGGCCGGGAGAAGTGGAAGTAGCACCTCCGGTGTGACTGGCCTCCAGCACGTCTTAGGAGCCTGGGGAAACGTCAACATGAAAACTTTCTGTCACGCTTGCGTAGCGCAGGAGAGCAAGCGTTGGGTCAGGGACTCCGCCCCAGTGTGCAGGAGAGGAGGCAGAGAGGTCCAGCGAGGCGGACCATGGTCAGACGCGGGAGCAGCGGGGGCGCGGTGTGACGTGTGCTGAGAGAAGGCATGTAAAGGATGAGGCGGTGGGAGGAGCCAGGGTCTGATGGAACTTGTCCTTCCTACAAGGTGCTTTGTCTTTGCGGACACTGATGCAGCCTGGGCGTGTGTAAGCTCGCTCGTGATTTGTATTTGCGCGCCTGACTTTGGATGAGCTCTGGGACGGGGTAGCTGGTCGAGGATGAGCTTTTGCTCCAGGGAGGACGAGTGCCGGGCACAGCGAGGCTTCCAGAGAGTCTCTGAGGGCGCCTGGCGAGGGCAGCCTCCCCCTGCCGTGGTTCCCTCGTCCGCCCGGGGGGCACAGTGAATGGCCCGGGTGGCAGCTGAGGACTGATGTGAAGGTCCACGCGCACCTGGATGTCAGGCCAGGACCGGCTCTTGTCAGAGCCAGTTTGAAATCTCACCCAAACCCGGTGGGTGGATGCCGAGCTTACATCGTCGCCGCTGGCGCAGGGGCTGTGTCTTCACTGCCCAGTGGGTGGGCCAGTGAGTGGCCCCCGTGGCCGAGGGTCCAGGGCTGCACGCGCAGGGCCACCTGCTGGGGCCTGGCCAGCGCCCGGAGCCCGTGCTGGAACGTGAACACCGGGAGCCTCTCCCGAGCTCTGCCAGGCAGGAGAGCTGAGTCCCGGGGAGGCCTGGCTGCGGAAACGCAGGGTATAAATGTGATAAAATGCAAGACAGCGAGCTGGGCTGGAAGCCGCTTTGAAGTCTGCTAAGTGGATTATCAGTGGGAGGCTGATATTTGTCTGTACAAACACACGGCCGTTACTGCTAATTGTGGTGAGCCGGGCAGCCAGCCTGGCTCGGGGGCCCTGCGGCCACCCCGTGTCCCCCGGCATCTGCCAAGATCCCCTGAAGCCCGCGGCCAGCAGCACTGTGAGAACGGCGCTTGGGTTCCCAGCCCTGTAATTACGTTTCTCCCACCAGAGGGCGCAGTGGTGCAGGGGGGGGTTCCAGTTTGGGACAGTGCTGAACACCCACCTTCCCTTCGGGACCGTGTGTGTGTGTGTGTGTGTGTGTGTGTGTGTGTGCATCTCACAGACTTTGTGTTAGAATCCTGGCTTGGCCACTAGCTCTGTGTCTTTGGGTTATTTGCTAAACCTCTCTGGGCCTCAACCACTCTTCTTAAAAACAACTATGTCACAGGATTATTATTCTTACTATTTTTGTCTTTTTGAGACAGGGTCTTGCTATGCAGTTCAGGCTGGCCTTGAACTCATTTTGTAGCCCAGGCTGGCCTTGAACTCACTGCAATCCTCCTGCTTCAGCCTCCCGAGTGCTTTAATTGCAGGTGTGTGCCACCACACCCACCACACCTGGCTGTCACAGGATTTTTTTTTTTTTGTACCAGAAATTGAACTCAGGACCTTGTGATTGCCAGGCAGGTACTTGTGCCACTGAGTCATGTCTCTGGCCCCACAGGATTATTCTCTTTGTTTTTTGTCTTTTTGGGACAGGGTCTCACTATGCAGTTCAGGCTGGCCTTGAGCTCACTTTGTAGCCCAGGCTGACCTTGAACTTGCAAGATCCTCCTGCTTCAGCCTCCCTAGTGCTGGGATGACAGGCGTGTGCTACCACGCCCAGCTCCCACAGGATTATTCTTAACAGAAATGGCGTACACATGAAACTGTGGCTTAGTCAGTGAGGGTTTAGTATTTTTTTATCCTTCCCTGCCCCTCCCCACAAGAATTGCATCTGTCACATGCGGGTGTTTCTCCCTCCATGTTCCTGATAGGATTCAGAGAAGCCGGGATCACACCTATAAAGCAAAAATACTTGGTGCGCTTGGGTTATCAGCTCCTGGATCCTCTCACTACCTAAAGCGACAAAGAGATAACGAGCAGCTGGGGTGAGGCCGGGTGAGGCGGAGACGACCGCGAAGAGGACAGTTTACTGGGGCGGAACACACGGCCGGGCGTCCAGTGTGTGCATGCCCGGTCCAGGCCCCTTGCCGCTCCCGGGTGTGAGCCGGGTGCGGGGCCGGTGCTCCCCAGCCAAGGCGGAGGTGGCGGTGCTTCCGGGGTGATCACCGCGCCTTTCCTGCTCAGCGCACCCGAGCGTGGGGTGCAGCTTGGGGGCTCGGAGGCCCAAAAGTCAGAGACGTCCTGCGGGAAGTGAAGGGAAAGGGAAGATAAAGCTAAAGAGAAGGGGTCTCCTTTTCCGAGGTGACCGGAAGAGCCCCTCGGCGGTCACCCCCTCGGCTGCAGCGTCCCTGCCCCTCAAACCCGCCCCCCCCTCGTTTCCCCCCCCTGTGTCGGTGCCCGCTGCTTGCCCTGTGTGCGTCTTCTGGACCTAAGCTCTGCCTCTGCTTCTGCGTCCCCAGATTTTGGAGGAAGCTGGGGATTTGAGAGCTTGGTTCTTGGAGCTCGGAGGCCCCTTCTGCCCTTAGAGTGTGGGGGTCTCGGGCGTGGCCCCCACTCTCTCTCCCTTCTGGTTCCCCACTCGGCCTGCGCCTTGGCTTGCCATGCCCACGTGTCCCTGCTCGGAGCCCCACAGGTCCCAGAGACCCAGGCCGGGCCTGGTGCGGGCCTCGGTGTCACACGGCCCCCGCCAAGTGACGTTGTCAGCGGGAGCTTCGAAACCTCTAGATCAGAGCGACAGAGCGGCGCTTTAAAATATTTGTTTCGGGGCTGGGGATTTAGCTCAGCGGCAAAAGCGCCTGCCTGGCAAGCGCAAGGTCGTGAGTTCAGTTCCTGGTACCGGAGAAAAAAACAAAAAACAAAAAACAACAACAAAAAAAAATTTGTTTCACTCCAAGGAACCTTGCCAAAGGTTGTAGAGGACGTGGACTGAAGACGATGCCCGCGACAGTTCACGCCGGTGAACAATGCTCTGGGGTTTTTTTGGTTATTATTTTTTTGTGTGTCTTTTTGAGACGGGTCTTGCTGTGAAGTTCAGGCTGGCCTTGAACTCATTTCGTAGCCCAGGCTGGCCTCAAACTCACAACCGATCCTCCTGCTTCAGCCTCCCAAGTGCTGGGATTACAGGCGTGCGCCACCGTACCTGGCTAACAATCTGGTTTAGAAGTTCTGAGAACACACGATGCTTATTTCTTTGTGTTTTGTGTTCTGGCGTAAGGGGTCTGAAGGAGCTGTTCTGCGGGATTCCTAGACTGTAAACTCGGACTTTCCAGAGTGAGAGCTGCAGGCCTTCGCGGTGTTTCGGCTGCAGACCCTGTCCTGACTTGGCGGCCCTTCGGCCCCCTCGGCCCCCTGATCTTGCTTTTCTGATGTCTCCCTGTACCGTGAACAATCAAGTGGAGCTTTGGGGGTTGTTTTCGGTCGTCTGACACTGTGTTCTGACTTGCAGTTCTCCAGCGCTATGGGGACGTCCCACCAGGCCGTCTTGGTGCTCGGCTGTCTCCTCACAGGTATGCGCTCCCCTCCCCTGCCCCTGTCCCGGGGATCCGTGGGTGCACCACCTCCCCTCTGTGCGTGGTCCTGCAGACCCGGGCGCACGGACCTCTAGGGTACCACTGTGACAGTGTCGCAAAAGGAGTGCGCTCCAGTGGCAGGTTGAGGACATCTGTAATCCCCGCCTCCACGAGTTCGTTATGACTCAGCTTCCTCACGCCCCCTACTGGACGTGGGTCTGCAGGAGCGGGGATTGGATCCGTTCAGATATGCTTAAGGGAAGAAAGAGGAAGACGCTGGCCCAGCAGCTCCTGCTGGCCAGGTCGTGCCTGCCTTAGTGCAGGAGGCTTGCTTTGCTTGAAAACCCCATTTTAAAGAGTCTTCCCTTGGAGTGGGATCCATAGAGGAGTGTTTGGCCCTTGGGGGACCCTAGGCCATTGGACCCTAGGCCGTTCTTTCTCGTCCATTGGGGCCACTTGTTGGACTTTCTGAGTGACCATGCAGATGCGTAGGTACTGACCCACGCTTTTCTTGTCTGGGGAGTTCACTCAGTGTGGTAGACTTAAGAGAGTTAGTACTGTAGTTCTAAACTCCACCGAGCAGAACCGGATGTGGTGACGCACGCCTGTAATCCCAGCACTCGGGAGGCTGAGGCAGGAGGACCCCTGCGAGTTCAAGGCCAGCCTGGGCTACACAGTGAGTTCAAGGCCAGCCTGAACTACACAGCGAGGGGCTGTCTCATAAACCTCCGCTGCGTGCCCCCACCTACAGGGCGACAGCTGGCCCAGACGCAGGCAGCCTTCGTCCCAACGGCCTGCAGAGGGCCGTGGTCACGCTGACATAGGGTGTGGCTCCCAAGTTAGGTTTCAAGGGAGGGCGAAGACACCTCGCTGATAATGAAGTCCTGGTATCTCTTCTGGCTGTTTTACGGCCAAGGGAAGCTCGACTGAAGCTGACGAAGTTTTAGTTTGTGGACTTCCTTCGTTATGTGAGGATTAAAGTCCGCATTGTCCCACCCAGGCTCCCGGAAGTCATTAGGAATGCGCAGCCCCCGCGGGGCAGCGAGGCGGGTGCACAGACCTGCTTTGTGCTGGGGCACTCGCGCCCCCCCTTTAAGGGAAGCTTCTGCAGGGATGTGCGTGGTCGGGGCCCGTATGTGCTCGAGCCCAGGACATCTTGGGATGTTTATGGCCGCACAGAGGAGTCGGGAGTATGGAGCGGGAGACCTGGAGTCAGAGTCCTCCGTCCATCTGAGTGGCTGGGGGGTGGGGAGGGGCTGGGGAGGGCAGTGAAGCCTTCAGTGAAGCTGCTCTTAGCAGCTGCAGCCGCTGCTGTACTGGGGCCTTTTCACGGGCATCCAGACCACCGGCTTTTGGGGTAGAAACGGGCTTTGTTTGTGGAGCTGCTGCTGCGGCTCCCGGTCCTCCGGACGAGGCCGCCGTGCTGGCTGCCTCCTGCTCAGAGCGCGCTTCCTTTGACAGGACTGAGCCTCGCCCTCGGCCAGCTCTCGCTCCCCTCCGTCCTGCCCAGTGAGAACGAGAAGGTCGTGCAGCTGAACTCGTCCTTCTCTCTGCGCTGCTTTGGGGAGAGCGAGGTGGGCTGGAAGTACCCCGCCACTCCAGGCGAGGTCCCCGACGTGGACGTCAGAAGCGAGGAGAACAACAGCGGCCTTTTCGTGGCGGTGCTGGAGGTGGCCAGCGCCTCGGCGGCGCACACCGGCTGGTACACTTGCTACTACAACCACACTGAGACGGAGGAGGGCGAGGTGGAGGGCAGGCACCTTTACATCTACGTGCCGGGTGAGTGGGCGTACCGGGACCGCGCTGCTTCTCACCCCGGGTCTCCTGCTCATTGTACTAAGGCGTCTTTTTAAATGAAACGTTCAGTATTTATTGGAAAAAATTGAAAAGTGGAGAACACACAATTTTTTTTGAAGACGGTGTCTTGCGATGTAGTTCAGGCTGGCCTTGAACTCGCTATGTAGCCCACACTGGCCTTGAACTCAAGATGCTCCTCCTGCCTCAGCCCACCTCGTACTGGAATTAGAGGCCTGGGCTACCACACCTACCTTGCTACTGCTTTTGAAACAGAGTCTTATTGTATTCCTGAGTCTCACCTCAAACTCTTAGGCTCAAAGGATCTTCCTGTCTCAGCCTTCCAGGTAGCTGGGACTACAGGTGTGTGTCACTCAGAGGCAGGACATATAGAATTAAATACAGTGCGTCAGTCATTACTAAGAATTTCATTGTTCACGTTTCAAAGCTGCACGGCATGTCCTTTGTGTGGTGCAGATACCCGAACTCTGCTCGTCTCTGTTCATTTCAGTGAAGCTCAGCAGATGCCCACGTGTCCACTGCTGGAGGCAGTAGAGGTGGCTTGGTGTCACACAGTTCACTGCAGCAGCTTTCAAGCAAGCGGCCCCCAGTGTTCAGATTCAGTACAAGTGTGCACGTACTCTTGATGAATTGCAAGGGATTTTTCTGCATCTTTTTAACCAGAATGTCGGGGAAACTCATGCTGATGTTGCTCCGTGCCATCTGAGAACCAGATGCCAAAACAGGAGCAAGATGGGATCCGCCGGGCGTGGTAGGCACGCCTGTAATCCCAGCACTCAGGAAGCTGAGGCAGGAGGATTGCTGTGAGTTCAGGGCCAGCCTGGGCTATCAAGTGAGCTCAAGGACAGCCTGAAGCCGGGCGTGGTGGCACACGCCTGTAATCCCAGCACTCGGGAGGCTGAGGCAGGAGGATCGTTGTGAGTTTGAGACCAGCCTGGGCTACAAAGTGAGCTCAAGGCCAGCCTGAACTGCGGAGCGAGACCCTGTCTCAAAAAAAGACAAAAAAAAAAAAAAAAAAAAAAAGACAAGGACAGCTTGAACTGCATAGTGAGGCCCTGTCTCGAAAAGACCAGGGGGGAAAAAAAGGCGTGCAGAGAGGGGAGGACCGTCTGTGCGCCTGCGCCCTTTCTCTGGGGCGTGGGTGGAGCCTCACTTCGGCACTGCCGCTGGCAGGAAGCCTCCTGGGAGGGTGACCTTGTTTGTGTGGGGCTTTGGGCCCCGCGGTCGGAAGACCGTGGGGTGATTTCCCACAGCAGCCGCACGGGCCCCAGGCTTGGCCCTGCCCGTGCTCCTCGCTGCACTGAGAGGCCCTGGTGATGTCCACGTCTGTGTGAAGAGGACCCTGCTGTCACTTAGCCGTTCCTTAGGCAGTAGGGGTTGCTGAGGATGCCGGCTGCTGTGTGGGGGACATCATTCTGTATCTTTTAACCTGAAATTAATTGGCAGCTTTACTTGGTGACATGTTTGGTAACAGAGTTAGAGGATTTGGAACTCTGAACACATCTGAGTGACGGCAATCCTAGTATGCTGGGGAGCAAATTAAAGCTGGAGACTCGGTTTAAAAAAAGAAGTTCCAGCACTGGGGAGGCTGAGGCAGGAGTGTTGTAGGCAACTGAGATAGGTGGTAAGATCACTTCAAGTTTGAAGTCAGCCTGGGCCACATAGTGAGACCATGTCTCAAAAAAACAAAAAAGAAAAAACAAAGGACAGGTATTTAGAATGTCACCCCAATTTCCCATGTAAATGCTTCACTTAGCTTCCTTCCCTGGAGTTCTCTAAATGTGGAGGGATTTCTCCCTGCTGTGAAGAGAACAGCAGGAGCCTGGGTTTGTTAAAATCGGGCCGAGGTTAGGTTAGGTCGATGTGCTGACGCTCCTGGGGGTACGAATAAAAGTGCAGTTCGTAGCTGAGGGGATGATGCTGGGCTGTGGGTGGAGCCCAGGGAAAGAGCGCTTGTCCGGCCTGTGCAGGGCGCTGGCTTCCATCCCCTGCACATGTGTGCGTACACACACACACACACACACACACACACATAAAAGGAAAGAAAGAGTAATGCTGGTGGGATAGCTTCTGTGTACACGTGTAAAAGTGAAATCAGTGCCTAATAGCTTCTTCTGTTTTACTTAAACCACAGACCCGGATGTGGCCTTCCTGCCTCTAGAAATGACAGATTACATAGTCCTCGCAGACAGCGATGACTCTGCCATCATCCCCTGCCGCACGACGGACCCCAAGACTCCAGTGACCCTACACAACAGCAAGGGGCCGGTGGCAGCCTCGTTCGACAGCAAGCAGGGCTTCAATGGGACCTTCAACATGGGGCCCTACTTCTGCGAGGCCGCCGTCCGAGGCAGGACGTTCCAGACAATGCTATTTAACATTGTTACTTTGAAAGGTACTTGTACGCTCTCTCTCCTTCTTTACATACAAATAGCATCGGGTGCAGGTAGGGTTTTTAATTTAATTCTCATCACTGGTGATAGAAGTTGGAATTCTGGTCTGGGGATTGAGGGCGCCACCTTGACCGTACAACGCGGCTGACCTCTGTGGCTATAACAATACAAAGCTTAGAGTCGCTAAGGGCTAAAGCTTGCTTACACATGTAGGTTTCCATTTTCATTGGTTGACTTCAAATGCTGTAAGGAATTTTTTCTTACATAAGCCTCTTACTCTGTGATTCACATTCTTGACTATAGAGACCCTAAAGACGAACACCCCAGGCGGCTGGATGCCTAGGTTAATTATAGCACCTTAAGAATGAGGTGATCTCCGTTCTGAGGAAAAGCCGTCCTTGCAGGCTGTAGATCCCATCCCTTTGATGTACCGGTTAACGTGAGCGGGGAAGGAGGACATGCTGGGGCCGAGATTTATGGAGCTCCGTGAGGATGTGGCAGCAGCAAGAGCTGCCGATTGACTTTCTGTGAGGGCTTATTTTGTGCCAGGCGCTGTGTGGGTTCAGGAAGGCCCTGCGGATAGCGGAGAGCAGAGCGGGGCAGAAGGAACTGAAGGGACAGGAACCAGGCGCCCAGAGCGGTGTCGCTCGGTAGTGACTGGGTGACCGCGTGCTTCAGTGAACGAGAGCCGCATGCGTGCTCAGGGGCCGGCGTTCTCTCTTACTGGAATTTCTTTTTATGACTTGTGGTTCTGCTCTACAGCCACGTGCCAAGTGTATAGCAACTTGAGGTCAAGGCCGCTCCGATTTTCCGAATTCTGTGTGAGTCACACTGGTTGGCAAACTACCACTCAGGGTTGTTTATTTGATTGCTTTTTTAGACAGAGTCTTGCTGTGTAGCCCAAGCTGGCTTGAACTTGGGAACCTCCTGCCTCAGCTTTCTGAATGCTGGGACTATAGGAGTCACACCACACCTTGGTCTCAGAGGTTTGGGGTTTTTTGTTTTGTTTTGTTTTTCTTTACTGATTTTTTTGAGACAAGGACTTGATGTGTTGTTTTGTCAGAGTTTTTTCAGGGTTCTCTCTCTCTTTCTCTCTCTCCTTTTTTTTTTTGGTACCAGGAATCAAACTCAAGACCTTGGAATTGCCAGGCAGGTGCTGTCCTGCTGAGCTATGTCCCTGGCTCTTTTCAGGTTTTTTTTTTTTGTCAGAGTTTCTTGTTTGTTTGTTTTGTTTGTTTTTTTTCCGGTACCAGGAATCGAACTCACGACATCGCACTTGCCAGGCAGGCACTATGCCACTGAGCTAAATCCCCAGCCCCACTGTCAGAGTTTCTTTCATCAGGGTTTTTCAGGATTTTCTTAAACCCAAATCTTACAAGAGTGTAACTGTACTATAGATGTTTAAACCCTTGCGTATATACATACATGCATATCTATGTATCTATGTATTTATATATCTGTATCTATGTTTGTATAGCTGCATCACAGCTGGATCTAGAGATGGAAGCTCTGAAGACTGTGTATAAGTCAGGGGAGACGATCTCGGTCACCTGTGCCGTCTTTAACAACGAAGTGGTTGACCTTCAGTGGACTTACCCTGGAGTCCTGGTAGGTGCCCTCAGGACACGGGGTGGCGTGTGCCCAGAACACCCGCGTTGGAGTCTGTCTGTCTGTCACTGAGGGCACATCCTTGAGGTTCTCCAGACCTCTGCCTCCCATCCCTACCATTTTTCATTTATGGTGGGAGGGGAGTTTTTATCCAAACCAAAACACATGCCATTGGGGTCAGAAAAATATGATCAAAGTGCTGCTTTATTTTATTTATTTATTTACTTACTTACTTGCTTATATTTTTGAGACAGGGTCTCTCTGTGTAGCCCAGGCTAGTCTTGAACTCACTGTGTAGCCCAGGCTGGCCTAGAACTCACAGTGATCCTCCTGCCTCAGCCTCCTGAGTGCTGGGATTACAGGAATGTGTCACTCTGCCTGGCCGAAGTGCTGTTTTCCCTGATCACCCAAGTAACGTAGGTTTATCACTGAAACTTTATAAAATATACAGAAGCAGAGGAAAAGTAACTTCGCAGAGCATCACACTGCTCAGATTTCAGGAAGATAAATCCTTTACAAAGTTTTATACATAAACGTTTAGTAATTAATAGATATTATTCTTTACATGGTACTTTGCCATATCCTTTTCCCTTCACCAGTGTGATAAATATGTCATATGTCACTAAACATCATTAGATATCCTTTTAGATGTCATTAAAATGTCCTTTTATTTATTTTTTAAATTTTGAACAACCTTTTAGCAGTACCGGGGATTGAACTCAGGACACTGGGCATGGCAAGCAAGTGCTGTACCAGCAAGCCACGCCCTCAGCCCATTAATCCCCTTAAAGGGTGACTTTCTGAGGAGCAGCTTTTTGCTTTTGAGTTTTTCAGCTTTATATTTTAGAGCAGATTCAGATTTACAGCAAAATCGAGAAGTCTAGAGGTTTCCCGTACAGACACCTTCCTGGCGACATCCCCACCCGCTGTCCCAGCCCACACCTCCTGATGCGCAGTGCTGGGGAATCCCCCAGGAGCCGCCTTTTTAAAAGCCATCTTCCCTCCTCTCTGCTGTAGAAAGGCAAAGGCATCCTGAACCTGCAGGAAATCAGATTTCCGACCATCAAGCTGGTGTACACCTTGACAGTCCCTGAGGCCACAGTGAAAGACAGCGGAGACTATGAGTGCATTGCTCGTCATGCCACCGAGGATGTCAAAGAAATGAAGAAAGTCAGCATTTCTGTGCACGGTACGTCCTGCTTTCCCAAGTCCGCCGGGCTGCTCGGGCTCCAGAGGCGATAATCACTGTGTACTGTGACTCTTCCCTGTGCAGAGAAAGGGTTCGTGGAGATCAAGCCCACCTTTGGCCACACGGAATCTGTCAATCTGCATGAGGTCAGACATTTCGTGGTGGACATACAGGCCTACCCGCCTCCCCGGATCTCTTGGCTGAAGGACAACTTGACTCTGATCGAAAATCTCACTGAGATCACCACTGATGTGGAGAAGATTCGGGAAATAAGGTAGAGAACGTGCCCTCCAAATATGTCTTCCTTTCTCCTCCTCTCCTTCCTTCTTTTTTTGAGACAAGGTCTCACTATGTAGACCAGGCCAGCCTTGAGCTTACCATGTAGCCCAGGCTGGCCTTGAACTAGCAATCCTCCTGCCTCAGCCTCCGGAGTGCTGGGATTACAAGTGTGTGCCATTGAGCCTGGTCCAAGTGTCCCTTCTTAACCTGTGTGTGCCTGGAGAGATGGAGGTCAGTGCCTGTCTCACAAGCCAACCAGAAGTCCACTGGCAAACGTGATCTGAGCTGAGAAGTGGTTGGAAATCAAGTAACTCTAAGTGTAGCGTTGCATTGTGACACTGGGACGCTGGTAAATGTTTACTGCTGAGAAGAAAGAAAAAAATCCCTGTCCCCATGAAAGCCAGGTTTCTGGATCCACCCACGGGTGGAGGAAAGATGAAATTAGACTCACTTGGATTGAATATCTGAAAGTAGACATTTCTGGTAAGACAGTTATTAGAATCAAAACACCACCAGTTAAATTTGGAACACATTTGCCCCAGTCAGTGATTCTACAGGAAAAATCGGTAGAGCTGGCTGTGTTTGCTTAGGGGCGAGATTTATGGTGAGGCATCTGGGTCCCTGTCCTTTTTTATTTCCCTAAATTTTGAGAAAGGGTCTCTGTAAGTCTTCAGGTTGTCCAGGCTGGGCTAGAACTTGCAGTCTTCCTGCCTCAGCCTCCCAGAGTGCTGGGATTACAGCCTCCACAGCTGACTCGGATCCCTGCTTTTTCAGGAGAACGGTTGCTCGCTCTCTCATCTTATTAGCTGTGGAGCTTTAGGTGAGCCAGGCAGCCTCGAGTCCCTCACCGGGATTAGTAGGACCTCATGTTTTCAAGGCAAGGAGTTGGGTGACATGCTCTCTCGAGGTCTCTTGCAGTCTTTTTTGTGTGTGTCTGTGCGTGTTGCTGAGGATCAAATCCAGGGCCTCTTGCAGGGAGGTCCAGCCCCATCCCCTGGTGCAGTTTCAAGCTGCGATTGGGATCCAGGAGTCAGAAGGCCCAGCTCATTCTGCCAGAGGCCCTCGTGGGCAGTCATTCGAGGAAGCACAGCTCAGTCCTGAGTTCTGAGTTGCAGTCAAGAGGACTTGACTTCATCCTTTCACTGAGCTCCAGCTTTTGCGTTCTTTTTTTCTGAACTGCATTCCACGTGCACTTGAGAAGCAGCATCTGAGAAAATGAATTAGACCAAAGAAAAAATTTTTTGGGGGGCACCGGGGATCGATCCCAAGGCGTTGTGCAGGCTGCATGTGCACTGCTGCGTCCCTGAGCCACACCTTGGCCCGGAACCTGGGCTCTGAAGACCCCCGCAGCATGCTGATGGGACCGGGATGAGGGGAGTGGGCTCCCGACCCCAGGCTTCCTGCTGACATGAAAGGAGGGTGGGCAGCTTGCCAACCAGGAACTGTGCCCCCGCTGTGAAGCCAAAGTGGAACGGGTGATCCCGGCTCAGCCACCACTGCGGAGGAGACTGAGCACCTTCTCCAGGCTGTCATCCACAGCAGCGAAGAGCCGTGCTTGCCAGGGCTGGTTCTGGAAAGCTGCCTGTTACCGTGACTTGAGAACCCTTCAGCACATGCAAATTGCTTTGAGCTCTTAATGATTGTGGGCCAGGATACCTAAGGAGGGGCATGTGAGTGGGGAGTCCGGTTTCACGGAGCTTGAAACCAGGGGCCCGCTGCTTTCTCGGCCGAGCAAGTGCAGACAGTGGGCCGCAGAGGCTCATGGGGCGTCGGCAGCAGCTGTGTCCCAGGGGCTCCACGGGACCCGGTGCGGAAGCTAGGCGATGGGCCTAACAGGAAAACCCCACCCGCCTGCTGTCCCCTCCGCAGGCCCAGCCTCCGCAGTATTTGCCCGGGGCTTCTGGGCCTACCCTGTACTTTCCTACCCAAACCTCATTTAACAGATTCCCAGAATGGCTTGCTGTGGGCTGTGTTCCCTTTGCAGACAGAGGGAAACCCAGGCAGGGAGCGTTGCAGTAGTGTCCAGGTTCTTCGTACTTCATGACCAGGGCTTTATCTTTTCTGTTCTCACTGCCTCTGCATATTGTGATTTTGGTGGTGGCTAGGTCAACCAGGCCCACCTTGATTCTGAGGTGCAGCCTGGGGTGGCGTGCCTCAGCCTCCTGAGTGCTGGGATAACAGGCATGTACTCCTATGCCTGGTAACTGTGACGTTTTGTAAAAGTCAAATGGGAAACTGTTATGTGCACATGCAATGTCAGTATCATGTACAACGCGCATAAATCTTTCTGGGGAAACTCTTTTAGGAAAGTGTGAAGAAGTTATTTGTTCTCACTTTCTTTTTGAGTTGATGATAGAACCCCGTGCCTCAGAAACAAACACCAAGAGGCGGTGTTGTAAGAGCCACGTCTGCTCCTCTCCCCGTCTGTCCGGTTACCCCTCCACTCCACGTGTTAGTTTCCTTAGGTTCTTTTGTTTTGTTTTTTTTTTTGGTTTTGGTTTTTCTCCGGTACCAGGAACCGAACTCAACGACCTTGCGCTTGCCAGGCAGGCGCTTTGCCGCTGAGCTAAATCCCCAGCCCCTAGTTTCCTTAGGTTCTTATGGAACCTTCCAGAGTCTCTCGGCAAATGTAGAGGAGCAGCAGCCTATACCCCGGGCTGCTGTCCAAATCAGCAGATGGACAGCGTCTTCGTTCTCTTCTCACAGTGTTCCACTGTTTGGCCAAATCGTCCAAGTGATGGATATTTCGGGGGTTATTTTTTTAGGGGGTAAAAATCAAGATTTTGTTTTCCTTTTGTTTTTTTTAAGACAGGGCCTCATTAGGTAGTCCGGGCTGGCCTTGGACTCGCTAAGTAGCCCATGTTGACCTTTAACTCATAGCGATCATCCTGCCTCAGCCTCCTGACGGCTGGGACTACAGGTGTGTGCCGTCACACCCAGCTTTGAGAATCATGTCTCTGACTCAGACATTCAGTATCTGGAAACCGTTGAGAATTGCAGAAAAGAGATGATACAGACAAGAAATTACAAAAGCGAAGTTCAATTTGAAGATGGTAGCTGCTTAAACAACTGGAATTTATTCAAACAAGCTACTGCGGGTTGAAACAAAGCCTGTTTCTTTTAAGGTATCGAAGCAAACTGAAGCTGATCCGGGCGAAGGAAGAAGACAGTGGCCATTATACCATTGTGGTTCAGAATGAGGATGACGTGAAGAGCTACACGTTTGAACTGTTGACGCAAGGTATGGAAGGGCGGCAGGAAGGCGGCGGAGCTCGGAGAGTGGCTCTCTCCCAGGGGCCAGGAGCTGCTCTCTGAGGCTAGGGTGGTGAAGGCACAGTTCAGAGGGAAAGCAGGGCCTGGAGATGTCACGCGTCAGGGTAGCTTTGTCGTACTTAGGACACTTACTGCGGCCTTTTTCTGAGAAGTTTTGCTTAGCTCCCCTGGTAGGCTCTGCACAGTGGTCCCCGCCAAAGCTGACGGAGATCGAGGTTCAACCCCGGGCATCGAGCTCTACTCTGTGCCAGGGGCAGTCTTAGGTGGGCTCTTTGGATCTGTGAAGTAGATTTGTGGTGTGGGCATTAGCCATACTGACCACAGAGTTTTAACAATCTTTAAAACTTGATATAACTCCCCTACACACACACTTGGGTAAACGCTGCTGTACATTATCTTTTGCTGGACCCATTCGTGGAATTCCAAGCCCTAAGGTAACTTGAAGAGACACCTCTGCTTTCGAGCCGGATGACCACAGACACGTTTCATAGTCCTCCTACCAGATTTGGAGCATCGCAGGCACAAATCCCCAAACACTGAAACTGTGCATGCTCTAAGGTGGAGGGAGACTCGGCGGGCTGGGTCCCCTCTCACCCCCGGGTTGTGTAGGCCCAGCGGCCCCCATGCTCACGGGCCATCTGGAAGCCCCCGAGGTCTGGGACGCGAACGTTTCGGTGCTGACTTCTTCCACCTCCCGCAGTTCCCTCAGCCATCCTGGACCTGGTTGACGACCACCACGGCTCCGGCGGGGGCCAGACGGTGAGGTGCACGGCGGAAGGCCTGCCCCTTCCTGACATCGAGTGGATGGTCTGCAGGGACATTAAGAGGTATGGAAACCGGTGCTCAGAATGTTTTCGCCTCGACAGGAAGGACCTCAGATGCATGTTATTGCTTTGGCTGGGTCTTTTTTGTATTTGTGATTCTTCTGTGGAGAAGGCTTCCATCAGACCCTCGGAGGGTCTCTAATGTGAACAAAGGTGTCTTAGGAACCTCGGTCCTGTGAAGAGCTGTACCACCCTGGCTCATATTTTTGCCTCACGTTCCGGGAACTCTCCTGGCCACGCTGGCGCGGAGACAGAGATGGAAGCCGCGCCTGTGTGGCTGCCTTCTCCTTCGTCCCCTCGCTACTGTTTGACAGCATTAACTTCCACATCCCCTTTCCCGCTAACTCCTCAGCCCTTTTGGTCGGATGTTTGCAACTTGAGCCCAGAGCCTTTGTGCTGAGCCGCATCCTCAGCCCTTTTTCATCTGGAGACACGATCTGAGAGGTTGCACGGGCTGGGCTCGGGTCTGGGCGTGCAGGTGTGCGCTGCGGTGCCCGGCCTCCTCCGTCTTTGTAGACCTGCGAGCTGCGTGCTCCTCCTTTCACCCTGGCCACTGACTGTGTCCAGATGCCTCACTCCTAGCCCCTTCTGTGAGGGCTAAGGGGTGACTTGGACGCTGGCTGTGGCACAAATGCAGCTCTTGTTGCTCAATTCTGAGGGTTACCCCACCTGAGTGACGTCTCCAGGCTCTTCCAGTGTGTGGTGAGAGGGGACAGCCAGGCCTTTCGAAAGGGTGGGAGATGGGGACTGTGAAACACACTTCATGTTAAGCTGCTCGATTTGCTCTTGGGTTCAAAGTGTGGGATCCGCAGAATATTGTACTGAACATGTTTACGTCTGCCTCCTCCCAAACAGTTAACAGTCAGTTATCCACGGGCAGGTTATTTCCACTCGAGTGTGTGCAGACGTGTTCTAATGTGAATGCACACAGCCTGCCGCCACTGCCCCCAGGTGTAGTCAGCGTCAGAGGTGCAGACAAGATCACTGTTCTGTTCACACCGTGACTCCCAGTCATTGGATCTACCTTTGTGTCCTTTTCCCTCTAGATGTAATAATGAAACTTCATGGACAGTTTTGGCCAACAACGTCTCGAATATCATCACGGAGACACAAGCCCAGGGCAGGAGTACTGTGGAGGGCCGAGTGACATTCGCCAAGGTGGAGGAAACCATTGCAGTTCGATGTGTGGCCAAGAATCTCCTTGGGTCTGGCAGCCGGGAGCTGAAGCTGGTGGTTCCCAGTAAGTCGCTTGGTAGTCAGATGGCAGCAGGTCATCAGCTGAGCCCCGTCTTCCTCAGTGGAGCAGAACCCAGATCGGGTGGGGTAGGAAGGAAGGCAGAAATTCAGCGCTGAAAGCGCTAAAAGGCCTTTCGTGGGCACCAGGGCCTTTCTTTTAGACTCACAGACAGAGCTGCATCTTGCAGAGCGCAGTGGCCGTTTGTTTGTCTCCTAGTGTCGCTGCTCAGGCTCTAGCCCGAGCGTCTGTGTGTGGGGTGAGGACAGAAGAAGAAGGATCTTCCACCTCATTGCTGCTCACACAATGGAGACAGCTTGAATTCTCTAAAGACAAGTTGAATGAGGGCAAAAGCAGTTGGAGCAAAACGCACCTTTTCAACCTGCCCTTTGTAGTGAAGCTTAGAAAGTGAGGTTTCTGCACTTGCAGAAGCTCTCGGTCTCACTTATCCGTGTTATTCCTGGTCAGATTCTGTCTGGAAGGTTATTCTTGAAGCATCTTTGGACAAAGTGTAGAGACTGAATTTTGTCCATTGCTCTTTCATAGGAAGAGTTGGTGTAGTTTCATGGGTACAGGTATTTGGGAGACGACGTTGCTCACCCCTAAAATGGCCCAGAGAGTCAGTGAGAGGTTCTGACCAGGCACAGCCACCAACTTCCTGTCTCCCCGGTACCTGGAGGGGATGCCCCACTGAGTCTCCCTTTGTCTTCTAGCCCTGCATTCTGAACTCACGGTGGCGGCTGCAGTGCTGGTGCTGTTGGTGATTGTGATCATCTCGCTTATTGTCCTGGTTGTCATTTGGAAGCAGGTAGGTATTTTCTCAAAGCACTGAAGTGTTTGAATCCAATGAGAGTAAGAACAGAGGGCTTAGGGCAGCGCTCAGCACAGAGAAGGGGTCAGTAATGACAAGCGGGATGGATGGTGTTGGACTCCCATGCATCCAGACACTTTGTTGCTGCGGTGAAGTTCTGGTGTCTTGGGACTTAGACAACTCACCGGTTACCTGTCCTGCTCGTTTGTAGAAACCGAGGTACGAAATTCGCTGGAGGGTCATTGAGTCGATCAGCCCTGACGGACATGAATATATTTATGTGGACCCGATGCAGCTGCCTTATGACTCAAGATGGGAATTTCCCAGAGACGGATTAGTGCTCGGTAAGCTCCCTGAGGACGATGTCCCCAGCTCTGCTCTTGCCCGGCACCACTTGCTCTTCACAGCCCTGGGACAGAGTCAGGGTTCTGGGCTTTGCCTAGGAAGAACCAAACAGTAGAAATTTGCTCGTGGAAATATACTTCCATCTTGAGAAATGTTAACTGGGACTAGGGGTGTAGCTCAGTGGTAGAGTGCTTACTTCCCATATATAAGGCCTTGAGTTTGGTCCCTGGCACTGAAAAAAAAATAAAAAATGGAAGATTGTATCACTGCACTGGTTTTTTAAATCTCAGGGAGAGGCCTGGCAGAGATACTTTCCACAATGATTTTGCTTTGGAAGTGACACAAACTGGAAATGAAATGAACTTGTCTGACTAAAAAGAGATAGATGAGAAGTAAAGGAGGACAGTGACAAAGTGTACTTCGATCCAGTTCATTCTGAGGGTGCATGAAAAGCTTCTTTATGTGTACGAGATAAAGGATATAAGACTGCATGTACCATGGAAAGCACAGCATGTAAATACAGGAAGCCAGGTGTCACAGATGTCAGTATTTCGACCCTGGGCTGAGACGAAATATCTGAAGTCCGGAGGAGCTCTGGTGTTTGTTTTGTCTGAATCACATTTTGAGTGAATGAAAACAAGACAAAGCTGGGGCTGGGGATTTAGCTTAGTGGCAAAGTGCCTGCCTGACAAGTGCAAGGTCGTGAGTTCGATTCCTGGTACTGGAAGAAAAGATAAAAGACAAAAAACAAAAAACAAAACACAAGACAAAGCCAAGTGGAAGTTTGAGCTAGAGACTGTGTCACAGTGAATAATCTAGACAGACACAGTTGCTAATTATCCCACTGGTCTCATTCCAAAATACAGCAGAATTGGGTTTTAGAGAGTTACTTACACGAAGTCAAACAAGATGCCCTTCACTTTCTGCCAATTTCAAATGCTTGTACCTAAGCTTCCTTTATTGTATTTTCACCATTGTTTCCCAAAAAGGGATGAGGAGCTTACGGAAGTCAAGAAGTAATAAAATATGGGGGAGAGAGAGGAAGAGCAGAATCCCCATTAGGGTTTATATCTAGGTGTCCCCCCGAAGCTTCACGTGATTATAGGTGGGGCCTTTGGATGTTGGTTGGATCTTGGAGACATGGTGCTCCCCAGGGGACCGATCTGCCGATGGTTAGAAGCCTGGTCAGGGGAGGGTCACTGGGAATGTGGCCTGAAGGGCCTGTTGCCCTTTCTCCTCCTGTGATCACTCTCTGCTTCCTGCCCGCTCTGTCGTGAGCAGTGCTCCTCTGCCAGGCCTCTGTGAGGCCCCTCTGCCAGGCCGCCCTGCCTTAGAGCCAGCTGACTGTGCAGTGAAACTTGTGCGAACGGTAACCCAAAGTAAACCTCTGCTCCTTCTGGTTGTGAGTCTCGGGTGTTGTGTTCCAGTGATGAGGAAAGTATCTGGGGCCGTTTTTGGTACCAGATCAGTGGGGTCGTTGCTGTGACTGCCTGAGCATGTGGTTCAGGAGCCCTTGGAGCTGGTTCTCAGGAGCTGTGGGCCAGAGAAGCAGCCGTGGAATGCTGTGAGCTGAGCTTGATGTGAGACTGTAGTCGAGCTCGGAAGACCAGAATGTTGATGGTAATACAGCTGGTAAAGATCAGGCTCAAGAGGTTTGAGTTGGGAAGAAGGACTCCTTGGCAGTTGGACTCCAGGCCATGTGTGTTATGCTATGCCAGAAAATTTGTCTCCCTTTTGCTCATGTCTGGAGACATTGCAGGGGACTGAGATTAAGGGCACTGGAGTAAGTATTAACCTGGCAGAGGAAATTTCACAGCAGCATAACACTCAGGCTGAGGCTCGGGTACTGTCGGAGCTTTGAGGTCTCTCTACACTGTGAGTCAAGAGCAAACGGTCCAGCTGAAGGTTTGAAAACGTTCTGAGTGTGGCCAGAAAGGAAGGACAGTAAAATTGGGACCTGCAGAGGCAGAGTAGAGAAGAGCTTGGCTGATGAAAACATTAAAGAGAAGTCAAGGGCTTTACAACAGGACTGTAGAAACGGTGGCTTGATGACCTCACCGGAACTACCAGGACCCCACTCTCTGAAGGCTCAGAGTTGCAAAAGTGAAGGACTTTGAAGAAGACAGCCCTGGGCCCCTGAGCTAAAGAAGGGGAAGGCAGCCTAGGGAACTGACTCCCCCGGACTCCGTTCACTGTGCCCAGCCATCCAGGCACATGAAGACCCTGTCACCCCCTGCAAGATGCAGAAGGACCTGGCTCCTGCTGAAGCCGACGGCAGGCTGACCGTGGCACTTCCCACCTGGTGCTGATTCTGTGGGCATGCAGAATGCAAGAAAGTGGAGTCAGGGAAGCTTCCACCCATACGTCAGAAGGCCTGGGAGGCCAGGCAGCGTGCCTGTGACGCAACAGTGTAGGAAGCTGTGAGAATGGAGCTGAAAGCTCAGTGGGAAGCCCAGAAAGTCAGAATCTGGGAACGCAGAACATCTGAGGAAAGTCACAGGGAGCGAGCATTTCCAGGGGAGAAGCCACGAGGACTGCCGGAGTGTCGAGCTGCCCCGGCGGTTTGATGCTTATTGTCTTGGCACCTCTTACCCTGGGTGCTAGACGCGGAGCTATAGGATGTATCTCCTTGTAAGGATAAATTTCTTGAAAAAGAGTGTCAGGTGGGGACATTAAAGTCTTGTTAAAATCATTAGCAGACAAGAATGATGCCATATTGTGTCTTTCCGGAAAAACTGTGCAGAAGGAATTATAGTTCCACTTCTCAAAAACTGCAAACAGATTTTACAGAAGAAGATAAGAAAGAAAATTTCCTAGACAAGATGGAGGCTTGATGGAAAGGTTTTCTAGCTGGGGTCAAGACACTGGACCAAGGGATTATGGGTCATCACACTGCTGGGTTTTATGCTTGAGGTATACCATGGTGGAGATTGTGAATGTTGTGATTGGGATGTTAAGGTCAATGTCAGTTGATAAATTTGAGCTAATACATTTGTAAGCTACAGGGGCTCCTAAATCTAAGTACGGGGAGGGTAGCAGTGGGTGAGGAGTATAGCTTAGTAGCAGAGCATTTGTGTAGCATGCACAAAGCCCGGGGTTTGGTCCCTAACATAGAGAGAGAGAGACAGGGAAGGAGACAGTTACCACTTCAAAGTCAGGGAATTGAGTGAAACTGCAATTTATATCATGTGATGCAGCCCAAGATCCCTTCCCCCAGTTTTATTATTTATTGCTACATAACAGTCACCCCAATATTTAATGGCTTAAGACAATGAGCAATTAATTTATTGCTTATAATTCTACAAGTAACTGCACCCAGCTAAGTCATTCTTCCACACCATAGGATATTGGTCAGGGGGTTATCTCTCCTCCTCTTAGTTGTGTGTCTTGGGTGTTATATCCCAGTGACGTGGAAAGTCACTAAGACAACCCTACTATGCCATGGTCCTTGCCGTGTCTCTCTGCTCCTGAGGTGTACCAGGCAGCTGGTAAGGCAGTACCTGTCCAGGTGTGATTTCCAGGGGTGCAGACGGGTGGGGAAGGCAGTGCTTGTCTTCATGTCTTTCGTGAGTGGAGTCCTTCCACGGCATCCTGGAAGCTTCCCTCATGACCTTTGAGCGTGGCTCTCTCTCTGTCTCACTGTGCAGCAAAAGCCCGTCCTCCAGGTGTGTTTGGCCTCTGCTCTCAGGGCCTTCCTAGCAAGGAGGCAGCTGAGGTCAGCCCCAAGTTCTTCCCTGAGCGCCCTTGGGATCAGTGAAGTTTGCAAAACTGGATATTTACAGGTGCATCTATGCACACGGTGCCTGTTTGCGTGCGGCGAATAGAAGGGTGGAGAAGCAGGGGCGTGGGTGGGGGCCACAGTGGCAAGTGGAGCGGATCCCGGGACCTGGCCCACACCGGGCTGGCAGGCAGAGTTTGCACCAGGACTGCATGCTCCCCTCCTGTGTGTTCCTTCCCGTCACAAACGTTATTTGACAAAGGCAGTTACACCAATTTCCTCCCCTGTGGCGTCACTTCTTTTTCTGACACGTAGCCTGGGAGGAGTAAGCAGGCCGACTGCATTCAGGAAAACACCCACCCAGCCGCACCGGGCGCTGGCCCCGGAGCTGCGGGACGTGGGGCGGGGGGCTGGCGTGTGCTGACGGCTCTGCTTGCCCACAGGTCGCATCCTGGGGTCCGGCGCCTTTGGGAAGGTGGTGGAGGGAACAGCGTATGGGCTCAGTCGCTCCCAGCCTGTCATGAAGGTGGCGGTGAAGATGCTGAAACGTAAGCGCTGCCCGCGGGGCCTTGACCTTGCAGATGCTGAGCGGGTCGTACAGAGTCACGAAGTGCAAAGCTTGTAAACAGCAAACTTAAGATCAGATCCTGGTTGTTTTGACTCTAGGTTATATGTGTGTTTAGACCTTTTCGTCAGGTTTATTCCGATCCTCTTGTTCATTCATACACTGGAAAATCAGGAGTTATCTCTTGTGGCCTCTTTTTACCCCAAAGACTGGGAACTAGTCATTGCGTCAGGGTCTGTGTAGACCGAATGGACCAACTGCTCGTCTTTTAGACGCTTGGTAAATAAAGTGATATCCAGTCTCAGGGTTAGCCACGGCTCCAGCTTTCACAGTGAAGGAGAAGTGGGCAGTTCGGCCGCGCTAATGCACAGTCTATTTCTCCCACAGCCACAGCCAGATCCAGTGAAAAGCAAGCTCTCATGTCTGAACTGAAGATAATGACCCACCTCGGGCCCCATTTAAACATTGTGAACTTGCTGGGGGCCTGCACCAAGTCGGGTAGGCTCCTTGCCCTGGAGGGAGGCTGTGGGCGCTGTTGGACGAGGCTCAGATCCACCCTCCCCATGCCCAAACCCACCCGTGAACATCAGTCTCCAACAGGGGCCTCTGGTCCCACTGACTGGCAGAAGGGAATTGTTTTTGAGCAATATCTCTTGGTGATCTAAACATAACAATTCATAGATCTGGGCGTGGTGGCCCATGTGTGGAATCTCAGCACTCTGGGAGGCTGAGGCAGGAGGATCACAAATTCCACTGCCTCCTGGGCAACTTAGTTTGCCCTGTTTCAAAAATCTAGTTGCAACAAATTCATGACTTTGTGCTTCATCTTCATACCCGTGTTCTAACTGGTTCTGGTTCCCGCAGGCCCCATTTACATCATCACTGAATACTGCTTCTATGGGGACTTGGTCAACTACTTGCATAAGAATAGGGACAGCTTCCTGAGCCGGCACCCGGAGAAGCCCAAGAAAGAGCTGGACATCTTTGGCTTGAACCCCACAGATGAAAGCACAAGGAGGTGGGTGTGAAGAGACAGTGCTGCGTGGTGACTTTATGAGTCTCACAAATAGAGGGGACCCGTGAGCTGATAGAGTCCACACCTGCAGAGCTGGTACTTGAGGTAGCAGATGGAGTCCAGCTAGCCTGCCTGGTCTTCGTGGCGGTGCCGATGGATCATGATGGCTGCAGGTGGTTTGTACCAGGACATCACGTGGAAAGGCCTTGCTGTTAGTTCAGTCCTTCTGGGCACCATTCTGCCATTTCTATGTGGCCCACTTAGGAAGTGTGAGATGCAAGTCCACTGGTTTTTTGTTTGTTTTGTTTTGTTCTGTTTGAGACAGGGTCTCACTATGTAGTACAAGCTGGCCTTAAACTTGCTTACATAGCCCAGGCTGGCCTCTAACTCATGATGATCCTCCTGCCTCAGCCTCCCGAGGGCTGGGATTACAGGTGTGCGCCACCATGCTTACTGGACACCAAATGGATGCTCACTGACTGAGTAGCAGGGATCGTCTGCCCAGCCACGTGGCCATGGTGGTTCAGGTTCATGGCTTATGAATTGAGAAACAGAAAGAGTATAATGACAATGTCAAGAATTTTTCAAATTTTAAATGTAGGAGACAGAATATTTTCTCATTTGATGGAAACGTGTCCCCCGTCTTCCGTGTGGCTGTTCAGGGTGTCTGCACCCTTGGTGAAGATGCGTAGAGGAGAGGTAGAAATCCGTGAGAAGAATCACGGCAGCTGACGTTTGTGGAGCCGCGATATGCTCAAAGCCTTTCCCGTCTTTGTAGGTGGGGTTCACCCCGCATCTTCCTTCTTAGGACGCTGGGTTTGAGATGACCCGTGTACTTGTGTGGTTGTGTGATTCATGCGCCCCGCCTCGGCCACCCCATGCGAGGGGCGGCGCGGGGTGGCTTTGCTTTTGTTCACCCCAGAGCCCCTGGGCCTGCCGCAGTACCTGGTAGACTGTGAGTCCCCAGCTCATCACCTGCTGTGCCGCCGACCCAGTGACTACTCCGGAGGTCACCCTGGCTGAAATCTCCTTACCTGCTTTTACAGCTATGTGATTTTATCTTTCGAAAACAACGGTGACTACATGGACATGAAGCAGGCCGATGCCACGCAGTACGTCCCCATGCTGGAGAGGAAAGAGGTTTCTAAATACTCGGATATCCAGAGGTCGCTGTATGATCGTCCCGTCTCGTACAAGAAGAAATCTATGCTAGGTAAAAGTGTCTGTACTCACTCTGGGCATTGTGATCTTCCAGTGGCTTAACAGGATGCTGAAAATACTTGGGGCAAGGTGAACAGGGATGAGAAGGAGACCTGCCAGGCCGCATGGTCCCAAGTGCAGGTCTGCTGGGCCCGATCTGTCACACGTTGTTACAAGTCTGTACCGTCTCGGGGTACAGAACTGTCTTGGGGCTGGACTTCAAGAGAATTGAAAAGAAGAAAGGCAAACTTAGTGTTGTAAATTTCTCAAACTTTACATGTAATCACTATAACTTATTCTGATATAATGGCCTTCCTTTTTTGTTAACGTGTTTCTTCAAACAATATTTAAACATTTATTTCATTTTCATCTCTGGGGATTAAACCCAGGTCCTTGCATATGACAGGCTAATGCTCGAATAAATACCATTAAATTGCACCCAGAGCTGCACTCTCACTTTCTTGAAATGAAAGCATAGTGATAAGTTTTCTAATGCCTTTACTTGGAAAAAAAATTAAAAGTTGGTAGTCTTACATTGTTTCCTCACAGTGATTTTTTTCTTAAGGTATAAGATTTTGGTATCCATGAGTTCCTTTAGCTTTTCTAACTTGTAATTTGTGGTAGAAACTGGAGAGTAGGCAATCTGAGGTTATATTTTCTGACAGGTGTTTCTACTGACTGTTGTTAGAAGGCAGATCCATCTGTTTTCAGAAAGAAGTGTATGTGGGGTGTTGAAGTGATTTGTAAATTCCAGGATGCCTGGCCGATGTCACACCATGTGGACCACCTCGCATCTGCTCCAGGGTGGCCCTCGGCCCTGGACTCACCGCAGCCTTGGAGCAGGGTGACTGCTGGATGGATCTCACCCTAGATTTTCTTGTGATCTTATCTTTTTGGGCCTGTGTCCTCCTGTTGGTTGATGCAAAGTGTTGAGCTGCTGTGGAAACTGTTTTGAAAATCACGCATGTACTCTGAATACTTGCAGGGTTCTTAAGTGTAAGGTACAATCCATTAAAAAAAAACATGTGCTTGTTTTTGCAAGGCTCAGTACACAATATTCTCCATTTTCTCTGGTTCCAAGTTCCCTTCATTTCTCATTGCCAAATGGGTGAACTTCCAAGCGGTTTTTAAAGACGAGCCAGTGAGTTATCGGAACCAGCGCTTCCTCTGCCTTCCCACATTGTTAAAAATAGTTTATGTTGCTTCCCAGGCTGAGCTAGTGGACTTGGCATCAGAAATCAGGGGGACCTGAGTCATGCTCAGGCCCGGGCCCTGCTGGCAGGCAGACCACTGTTTTCTGGCCTGCTGTAGCTGGTGAAAAATGTGAATGGCTGGAACCACTCTTCACTGGCCTGAACATTCTCAGACAGGACCAAGAACTGCTGGCCTAGATTGCCTTCTTCCTCGAAAACTCTGGGTCCCTTCCAGATGGGACGAACTGGGGAAAATGGACAAGTTACAAACGAAGGGAAGTCAGTGGCCCCCTGATCTTCAAGATCACTTCTTCATCTGATTGATAGTTAACTCAATTAACAAATTATAAATCAGGTACTGTAAGATAGCTCTAAAAGGAAAATAAAGCCGGGTGTGGTGATGCACACCTGTAATCCAGACCTTGGAAGGCTGCAGCAGGAGGATTGCCATGAGTTCGAGGCCAGCCTGGGTTACATAGTGGGTTCAAGGCCAACTTGAACTACATAGCGAAACCCTGTCTCAAGTAAATAAATGAATGAATGAATGCAGAAAATACTTTTTCAGAGTCCTCATGCATATTTGTTATGGAAGATATGAGTGTGTATGTGTGTGTGAATTTGAAGATGCCGGTGGCACTTGCTAATTAAAGTTGAAAACAGAAATCTGGGAGGCAAACAAACAAAAAAATACATGTGGGAACCCACTAGAGAGACCACTTTAGGTTGGTCCTTCTGGCTGTATGTGCACACGCACACACAAACCAGACGTGGACATGTGTTTCCACATGGAGACTGAGTATTTTTCATCCAAAATGTTTGAGACCAAAGGTGTTTGGGCTCTTTTCAGATTCTGGAATATTCACAAGTAGATAATGAACTGTCTTGGGGCTGGGCTCCAAGTCTAAACACAAAATTCATTAATATTAGTTTGTTTAATTTTTTTTAGTGCACCTATATAGTAGTACCTCGGTTTACGAACTTAATTTGTTCTACGATTTTGGAAAAGATAGCCAGCCACATTTGTGTTTGTGTGGGAAGGATGGGCACGGTCATGTTTGTTACCTGATGCAGCTTGCAAACAAAAACAAACTCTTGCCAAGTGCTTCTGTTTGCAAACCAAACTGTTTGGTTTGACCTGAGGTACCACTGTGTACTGACTGATCTGTCACACGAGGTCCGGGGTGCAGTTCTCCATGGCTGTGGTATGTCAGTCCATACTGAGTTCTGGATTTTGGAGCACTTTAGGTTTTGGATTTTCCAGTTTGGTTAGGAATGCTCAAATTGTATATATTACTTTTTTTTGGACACAGCCTCCCCCATGTAGTACAGGACTAGATCTCTCGGCAGTCCTGCTGCCTCAGCTTCCCAAGTGCTGGGATTGCAGGTGTGCGCCACCACACCCAGCTTATACATTGATCTTTAAAGAAAAGATCTCAGTATTTATTTATTTGCAGTGCTGGGGATGGAACCAGGGGTCTCAAGCGTGCTCCATGCTGAGCTCCACCCCTGCCCCCCTTGGCATACTTAGCTGCTCACCCGGGAGGTCCAGAAATTGTAAGAAATGCCTCTGGCTCTGTTCTTGCCAGTGCTTGGCAAGCTGAGTCCGGGAGTGGACGAGCTGGCGTACTGTCTACCAGCCCAACACGCCGCCTTCCTCTTCTGCAGACTCAGAAGTCAAAAACCTCCTCTCGGATGATAGCTCTGAAGGCCTTACTCTGTTGGATTTGTTGAGCTTTACCTACCAAGTTGCCCGAGGAATGGAGTTTTTGGCTTCAAAAAACGTAAGTTCAAGGAACAGAGACCTCTTGAGACAGGGCGCAGATTTCCAAGTGGGGAGGAGACACTGGGAAGGAGATCGCGGAGCAGTGTCGCTGCTTCCCCGTCACCGGCCTTTCTGCCTCTTCCCGAGCGGGCTGGGGGCCGCATCGGCAGTGCCTGCCTGGCTGCGGAGCTCTCTGTCTGTTGGGGGTGGGCTGACGGTGACCTCTTGAGGCCTTCCCTAGGGCATGCTGGACAGCCCCACGCGCCCCAGGGAGCGCCAGTCCTGCAGGTGCGCTGCTCTGCAGTCTCGGGCACACTGACTTTGAAGCTGTTTCCTGCTTTTCCATGCAGTGTGTGCACCGCGACCTGGCTGCTCGCAATGTCCTCCTGGCACAAGGGAAGATCGTGAAGATCTGTGACTTCGGCCTGGCCAGAGACATCATGCACGATTCGAACTACGTGTCCAAAGGCAGCGTACGTACCTCTGTCCTCGTCCGGCGCACTTACTCCCCCACACCCCGAATGTCTCAAGGCGTGGTGCTTCTTGCCTTTGCTGCCCATCTTTTTAACTAGAGCACACGAAACTTGTGAGTCAGTGGGAACAGCTCAGGCTCTGCACAGAGGGCCTGCTTCATCCTGTAGGGCTGCCCAGCTTCTGAGCTGCTATGGGGAGGTAAATGAGAGAGTTCATGTACTTAGAACAGTGCCTGGCAAATAGCAAGTGTTACCTATTAGTAGGCAAGTTGTGTGTGTGCGTGTACAAGCACACATTTCCAAGGGCTGCCACTAGCTTTTAAGCTTCTAGCATATTTCCATAAGGTAAAGTGACCAGTGGAAAGTTAAGACCATTTGCATTGATGTGTCTTAGAGCCCAGTTGGTCTTTAAGGGCAGTCCTTGCCTTGTGGTTTGACCCGCCCTCTCCGTTCCTCCCTTGTAAGTGGATGGAGTGGGTTAAGGTACACCTGCCACCTGAGTGCAGTTCTGAAGCACTGCATTGCACGGTTGTGAGATGGCTCTTGGGGTCCCTGCAACCACCCAGCGAGGGCCACGGGCCTGAGTGTGCTCGTGTGGCCACGGTCTGTAGCCAGGCTGCTTCCCGGGCCCCTTTGACTCGTCACTGGACTTCGATGGAGCCGACTGCTGTCCTGATTGCATAGGACTATGGATCTCTCGTTACCTCCCCAGCAGGCCTGGGTGTGGAAGGTGCGGCTTCCGCATGCATCTGCTTCACTGTAGTATTTCCGCCAAGGATTGGCCAGCTGCACAAAAGAAGTTCTTGTGGTGGGAAACTGCTGCTTGTTTCCGAAAGTCCAGTGGCTGTAGTGGCCTCGAAGGTCACTGCATGTATTCTTAGTTTTGTGGTTAGGAATACCTGACAGGGAGGGGCAGGTCTGCTTCAGGCTTAGCTGTACTTCGTAGGTAACAGTTCAGTGTGAAGTGTTTGGGGGGTGTTGTTCCTCTAGAGGAGTTAAGAGGCAGCTGTAGCCATTTGTCATTTCTAAGTATTAAGAAGCCGCCGGGTAGCTGGGCCTGTCATCTGGGCGTCTGGAAGGCTGAGGCAGGAGGATCTGAAGTTCGAGCCCAGCCTGTGCAACTTAGTGACTTAGTGAGGTGAGACCCTGTCTAAAAATAAAAAAATAAAGAGGGCCTGGGGGTGTAGCTCAGTGCAGAGTCACTGGGTTCAGTCTCAGTACTAGGGGAAAGAGAAAAAGAATCACTAGGTGCTGAGAGTGTAACAGTGAACACAATGCACACAAAATACACTTTATGGAACGAGATCCTGAGTGCACGTTATTCTTAGCCAAGGGAGGACCCTTCCCATTTCTGCTGCCACAGGTCAGCCTGGCGAAGGCTGGGGGTTAATTTCCTCCCCACCTCCCTCCCTCCCTGCAGACCTTCTTGCCTGTGAAGTGGATGGCTCCCGAGAGCATCTTCGACAACCTCTACACCACCCTGAGCGACGTCTGGTCCTACGGCATTCTGCTCTGGGAGATCTTCTCTCTTGGTACGGGCCTGGCCCCTCTGCTGCTTCGGGCAGTTCTGGAGCAGCCTGGAAGGGAAATGTGTTTGTCCAGCTCAGGATGGGAGCTCTGTGGAGCTGTGTGATGAGGCGAGCCGCAGCGGCTTCACCCCACCCACTCTGCCTTGTCTGCGGCGGGCCTGTGCAGACTGAGGGGTGCTGGAGCCCCCCCCACCCAAGCTCTGTGCATCTCTTCCGGGCCCTGCCAGGGTGACTGTTTCTCTGAAAGTGCCCCGAGGACTCTGCCACCTGGCTGCCTTTTCATTTTGACCTTTGGGCGAAATGGTTCCCAGTGGGGCTGCCTCTCCTCACCCGGTGAGGATTGATGATAGCAGTGTGGTGAGGGAAAGGGCTGTCACTTCCCTTCCTGGTCGTCATTCTGGAGGAGAGAAACCTGTAGGTGTCTGGCTGGCCAGGGGAGGCCCTAGGAGAAGGGGGAGGCAGGACCTGACCTGCAGGGTTCCTGGAGGGAGGGAAGACTCACACCCTTAGAAGTAAGCCGTGTGGGGCCGACTTAAAATTGCAGCGCGAGTCCCGAGTCAGGAGAAGGGTGTCCTGACGAGTGCTGGAAGAGGTGTGGGGGGAATTCAGCATGCCGTGCCTTCGGCTATAAAAATGTGACCGTTTCATGAATGTGCCCATTACCTTGGTGAAAGTGAAGGATCCCTCCCTCCCAGTCTGCTCTGCTCTCTCCCTGGAGGGTCACCGTGCATCGTCCCAGTTTGGGGCTTACAGGGCTCATACTCCCTGGAAAACAGAATTTCTAGACAACTCAAGCCCCAGCTTTGAACATTACTGGGGAGAATGACCTTCTTGCCCTCGACTCGGAATTCTTCCTTGCTTTTCTGGTTTGCTTGTGTGTGTAGATCCAGTAGTCAGAAGCACTGAAAAATATTTTAGTGCTTTTCTCTAAAGATGCAAAATTTTTACATCATCTGCTTGGACTTGGGCAACCTAGAGTTCCGGTTAAATTTCAGATTTGAGCAGGGTTTTGAGGTCAGGGAAAGGATCACAATTTCCTTGAAAGAACCAAGCTGTCAGGACTTCAGGATTCCCTAACGTTGTCTGACACCCCGAGTGTTCCCCCAGTGTGTGGTGGCTTTATCGCGCTGCTTGTCTTCTGTGCTCTTAGGTGGCACTCCCTACCCTGGCATGATGGTGGATTCTACCTTCTACAACAAGATCAAGAGTGGGTACCGGATGGCCAAGCCTGACCATGCCACCAGTGAAGTGTGAGCTCCCTCCCCGCCCTGGGCCCCGTCCCTGCCCCGTGGGTCTCCAGGGTGGGACACCCACAGCCTGTCCTCGTGCACACTCTGAGCTCTGTGCCCTTCTAGCTATGACATCATGATGCAGTGCTGGAACAGTGAGCCGGAGAAGAGACCCTCCTTCTACCATCTGAGTGAGATAGTGGAGAACCTGCTGCCGGGACAGTATAAGAAGGTTTGTCGGGGCTTCTTGGAGCCGGTGGTGGGCAAAGGGCGGAGAGCTGGTGGTTACGCCCATGAGCAGTGCTGTCTTCTCAGCGTGTTTGAAAGCAGGTGTAGACTGTGTGACTCTGTGGCCGGGGCTCACAGCGTGCTCCCCGGGCTCCTGGTGCGATGATGAATGAAAACCCCGTCCGTCCCGCAGGGCTGCCCTTCCATCCTGTGTGTTCCACACCTGTAGGCACTCTATCCTCCAATGTTCGAGTGTCTGCTGTGCAGTTAGCAGTCTCAGGACATCCATGGCCATTACATCAGTAATTTGAATGCGCTGAAATCTACGTGAAATTCGCTTTTACCTGCTGTCCAGAAGGGACAGCCTCAGCTGTTATCTGTGGCCCCAGCGGGCTTTCTGTGGCATAGGAAGCATTGTTCAAAGGAACAAATGTAATTTCATGGAGCCAGGCAGGAGATGGAAGTGAACAGAACAAGTTTCTGCCGAAGCCTTGGGAGGGAGACCAAGGGAACTTGTGTAATAGATCCTGCCTCGTGGATTCGGGTTAGTCACCGTGTGGGCTTGCTTTCGCATCTTGCCGCTTCTCTGCCCTCTTCTCCAGGAGGAGGAGGCGCAGCACGAGGCTGCGCTGGAACCTCCCATAAACTGAGCTGGAGGTTACATACTTCAGTTCGCTCTTTGTTGGTGATCTCAGTGGCCCCAGTAGCTCTCATAAGTGCAGCGTGGAGGAGCAGAAAGAAATGAGCCTTAGGTCGTCTGCGGTGCTGATTGCTGGAGATGTGTTGCTGGGGAGAGATTAAAACTGTTGCTGAGTATAGCGTTTTGACATCAGAGGTTGGACCTTCCTGACATGCAGGGATCTGGAACAGGTTGGGAGGTAGGCTGACGTCTTTGCCTCCCCGCATGGGGATCCGTGAGGGCCCTGGAGACGCAGTGTGATGGGGCCGCGAGGCTCTGTGCTAGGCCTGGGGTGGGGGTGGGGGTGGGGGCTGGGGTAGCACAGGGGCAAAGCTACTGCCTTGGAAAAGGCCTCGTGGTAGCCGAAGACCCACCGGCAGGCCTCTGCCGTTGGTGGACCCTCTTTCACGTCCCCACCTCTGGGGGTGGTTGACGTAGACTCTTGCAGTTGTTTGAACCCGACCCCTCCCTGAGGTCGTTTGGAAACGCATGCAGTTAAGTCATCCCGATTTCTGGTTTTCGGGTTTTTTGTTTGTTTTTTTGAGCCAGGGTCTCGCTTTGTAATTCCGAGTGGTCTTGAACTCGTTATGTAGCCCAGGCTGGCCTCGAACTCGCAGCCTCCGGAGTGCAAGTGCTGGGATTGCAGGCGTGCGCCACCACGCCTGCCTTCATTGTGACTTCTGAATAGCTGCGTTCGTTTTTATAGCCCAGTCGGTAAGTATGTTAAACGAATGCTTACAGAGCTACGAGAAAATCCACCTGGACTTCCTGAAGAGCGACCACCCCGCTGTGGCGCGCATGCGCGTGGACTCGGACAACACGTACATCGGCGTCTTCTACAAGAACGAGGAAGACAAGCTGAAAGACTGGGAGGGCGGCCTGGACGAGCAGAGACTGAGCGCTGACAGCGGCTACATCATCCCTCTGCCCGACATCGACCCTGTGCCCGAGGAGGAGGACCTGGGCAAGAGGAACAGGCACAGGTAGCCGCGGGGCCCCTCAGCTGCCCCCGCCCCTCGCCTGGGGAGCCCCTCTGCTGCGGGCGGAGGCTGTCCTGCGTAGGAGCTGTACCCTGGGGCCTCTGCAGCTTCAGAAGCCCCTCTTAGATGAGCTGCTGTGCGCTCTGACCCCTGGGGCTCCCGCGGGGAGAGGCTTTGACCCGAGTCGTGGGAACAGCCCCTCCACGGGGTAACACAGAGGGAGGGCGGGGGTGCCCGCTCAAGGTCCGCGCTGTGTGCCCGTCCCGTCTGTTCAGGGCAGCAGGGAAATTGGCCCGCAGTGAGGAGGACTGGGCGTGCGTGCGTGCGTGCGTGCGTGCGTGCGTGCGTGCGCGCGCGCGCGCCCAGAGCTGGAGGCCTTGGGCTTAGGCAGGCAGTCCTCAGCTGGGAAGTCATTAGCTTTCTCCCAGGGCCGGCTGTTGGCCTCGGTGGGTGGTGGAGGGAGGAGACAGGGTCGGAGTACAGGGCTCGGGAGTTCCAGGTCTGAGCCCCTGCAGAGCCAGGTGCTGAGCTGCCAGATGGGCCCTCTGGCTGGGGAAGCAGTTGCAAACCAGATTGTCACCTCTGGGACCCACCGCGACACCGACCAGCAGGGAAGGTGATGTGGCCTTGTTTCCGTGGAAGTTAGCTTCCTCTGTCCCTACACGCCTGCCTAGGCCTGTGAGACACCAGCAGAGAGATGCGTATGCCAGGCCAGGAGGGCCAGAGCCAGGGGCCTGATGCATCTGTCAGTGCCCTAAGGAAAGAGCCAACAGTCCCTACCACAGTATTCCTCTTAGTAAGGCCATAGATACAGCACCCAAGATTGACTCAGGATCAGTACCCAAGGAGTGACTCCGCTCCTCAGTTGGTACCAGTGCTCCAGGAAGTGTCCAGCTCCTGGAGAGAAGGGCATGAGGCCCAGAGAGTCATCCAGACCAGCCTCGTGGCCTGGGATTCTAAGTGAGATGCCAGGGTGGTGGGGGAGCACGCACCAGGAGCTGAGGTGAGGTCTTAGGTGTAGGGAGGGCCCCAGCGTGGGGTGACAAAGGGACATCACAGTTCAGGAGCACTTCTGCCGCACCCATCTGGAGGTGGTGGCCGGAGACGGCTTCCTGCAGGCTTCCAGCTGGCCAGGCTCAGCCCCCTGCGTAGGGGAGGATGGAGAGGAGGCCTTAGAGTAAGCCAGACAGGCAGGCAGGAAGAGCTGGCGGTGAGAGTCATGCGGGTCTCTCTCAGTCTCTCTCTCAGTCTCTCTCTCAGTCTCTGTCTGTCTCTGTCTCTCTCTCCTTCCTCGGGATGGCCCACCTCTCTTTCTGGTCTCTGGGCTGTGTGAACAGCACGGTATAGCAGTGTCATGCGGAGAATAAACCGCGGTCCTAACCGCCAGCAGATAATAATCAGTGTGGAGCACAAAGCTGTACGTGAATGCACGGAGAGCAATACAAGCGCGGAGAAGGAAGACAGCAGAGCTCGCACGGGGGAGGGCAGACGGGAACCGTGACAGGCTGGAGTCTGGGGAGACGGTTGCGTGAAAAGCTTCTGTGAAAACTGCTGAATGTACAGGATACTATGAGAATGCACCCACCGCTGAAAGTTAACAGCTGCTAACGTTGACCGCATTTTGTATAGCTTTATCCGGGGGTATATATGTAATAGGTGCTGCATTTACATTTATCACACCAAATGCACACTTCGTTTCTTGTCATTTGAAAGTAAGAAAGTAAGTAACACTCAGGTGCTTCACCCCAAGTATTTTGTACAGATTTCCTAAGAATAATAATTCTGTCCTATATGACCACAATATTGTGATCATGCATAAGCAGGTTAATAACTAGCTGGTCATGGCACATGCCTGTAATCCCAGCACTCAGAAGGCCGAAGCAGGAAGATTGTACATTCCTGGCCAGCCTGGGTATATCATGAGTCCAAGATCAACCTGGACTACACAGCAAGACCACCTCTCAGATGAACCCAAAACAACAATGGCAACCCTTCCCTTTATTTTCCAGTATCATCTAATACCCAGGCTTTATTCAAATTTAGATGTGAGTGTGAATGATAATAATTGGTGACATTTACTGAGCACTTATTATGTGTTACGGAGCATTTATTATGTGCTTTATGGTGGTTCCCTTATTTAATCATCCCAGTAGGTATTTTGTTCAGCATTATCATCCTGCTGTTTCCTAGACAAGGAAATAAAGCAAGTCCGGGGAGTTAAGTAACAGGAGTGGAGTCCATTCCAGGCCTAAGTCTGCTTGCCCAGGAATTCCCCTTGTTCCTCAGTAAAGAAAAAAGAGCCTTCGCTTGGGCCCTCATGGCCCTGAGAACACAGTCCAGCTGCTCAGGAGATTCTTGGAAGAATGAGGGGGTGTGGCTGCAGTGTGGAGTAGATTTAATTTTTTTGCATTTCCTTCTCTGTGCCTTTTGATCAGGCATTGCTGAGCAAAAGTAGGCAAAGTAGATATTGTTACTGCTCGCTAGCAGTGTGGCTGAAAGACCCGGCAGAAAGGAAGGAAAGCTGAGGCGCCTGGGCTGTCCACGCAGCCTGTGCTGCGGACTCAGCGCAGACCCACGCCCCCACAGCCCACGGCTGACCGAGGGAACAGTCCGTGCTGGGGAGAGTTTGCCTGCCTCGGGCGGCCACCTGGAAATGCACTGCGGTGTAGCCGACCTGTGCGTGGGTCTTCACTTTCCTTTCCTCTCCTTCAACAGCTCACAGACCTCTGAAGAAAGTGCCATTGAGACAGGTTCCAGCAGTTCCACCTTCATCAAGAGAGAGGATGAGACCATCGAGGACATTGACATGATGGACGACATTGGCATCGACTCCTCGGACCTGGTGGAGGACAGCTTCCTGTAACTGCGGAGCCAGTGGGTGCCTTCCACTCCGGGAGCTACCTGTGGGTCCCTTTAAGAAAACCACTTTATTGCAATGCAAAGGTTGCGACTTGGATGATGGGTGAGGAGGACTTCCCAGCCGTGGGCCTGGGGAGCCTTCTGAATAGGAATGAGTGGGATTTTTGAAGTGAACTTTTCAGCATTGCTTCTTGCAGTGCTTCAGTAGCATCTCAGCGGCCTGTGAAGTTCGGAAGGAGATGGACAGGGAATAACAGGCCACAGAAAATGAGCTTTGTGTTTCAAGGGCTTTGGTGAGATTTCCACAGACACAATCTGGACTGCAACAAAACCCCAGCATTGTAATTATGTAAATAGCTCTAACCAAGGGTGTGTCAGATTTGTATTAACCATCTTCTCTGGACTTCTGAAGAGACCACTCAATCCATCCATGTACTTTTCTCTTGGAACCTGGTATCAGCTGCTGTTGAATTTTCTTATGAAGTGCATGCAAAACCACTCTTGAACCTTAAAAGGTACTGGTACTATTGCATTTTACTTTTTTCTTAGTGTTAAGGAGATAAAAGATAACAATTAACCAATTTTGTGTAATAGATTTGGGTCCTTTAGCAGCCCAACAACTCATTTTCATATTGTAATCTATATTTATAATAATACTACTGTTATCAGTAATGCTAAATGTGTAATATGTAACATGATTTCCCTACAGAGAAAGCACAATTTAAAAAAAAAAAAACCCTTTACTAAGTAGGTGACAAGTTCGTTTTTGACATTTACCTTAAATAACATATATTTCTTTATAAAATGATAATAGCTTTAGTGGATTACATTTAGTAAACAGACAGAGCAAAGTGTAAGTAGTGTTGTCCAGGAAGTCAAAGTTCTTAATTATGTACCAAATAGGTTCCCTAATCCATTCTACTAAAAACAGTTAATGACCTCTGCAGTAATGGGATTAGAAATAAACCCCCAATCCTAAAGGTTCTTGATAGAAAGACAAAATCCTGTGGCCCACGTGACTTTTTCTGCTGCGACCCAGTGGAAATCCCAGTAATCAGCAAAAAGACTGGATTCACAGGGGTTTCCTTCATGACTAGTGGTAACTCTGGTGGATCCCAGCTTACACTTTTAAATCTGTGAGCCGTGAGAGTCAGGAGAAGGCTCCTTTCTTTCATCTCTTACCCTAAGGAGAAGGTGCTTGAAATGCTGAGATAACAAAGGTTTTTTTATGAACTCTTATGTGCATGAAATTCTGCATTATTAAGTCTGACGGAAGCAGGAACCTGCGTTCTTATAAACACTGGCTATCCTGATCAGCCAGTTTTAGAAACACTTGCTTAGGTTACAGGAGGTTGCCATGGAGGTTGGGGGACAAGAAACAATTTGAAATTTGGATCTGGGCTAGAAGTCAACTGTGCATGAAGCCAACTATTAAAGTCCTTGGCTTCAGGTCAGTGACATTTAATACCATGTATGCAGCAACTGCTACCCTTCATTTAACTTTCCAGTCTCAGCTGAGGCTGGGAAAGCTGATTTTGGTTTTTGTCACGTCTTCCAAAATTCAAGACAAGGTAAGGATGCTGCTTCCCACTGCATGGGGCACTTGCACTTGTCTTCCCCCCAGGGAAAAGCATGTGTAAAAATCATCAAATTCCACACACCGAGTCTCAGAATAGCCAGGTCAGTGTTGTGGTGAAAAAGGGTGAAAGGTTTTCCTGCTATTTTGGGTGTAGGTGGGAGGCTGGATCGTCACATCCGTCCAGACTGTCACACTGGCTGGCGTGGGTTCATTGGCATTCTCGCAGTGTGCTTGATTGCTGACACCGTATGAATGAAACATGGGCCGTGATTATTGCAGTCACTGATGCGCTTCCAGCAGCTGATGCTGTGGAAGACGGAGAGCAATAACACGGTGCTTGAGTACCTGCTAGTGGAATCTCAGTGCAAGCCCCAGCTTTCTTGTCCCCCTTTTCCATAGTACGTGTGAAGACTGAGCCAGATTGGCCAATTAAAAATGAAAACCTGACTTGGTTCCATAGAGCCAATTAGACTTGAGATACATTTGTGTTTCTAGACTCGCAGCTCAAGCGTTCTGTTTATCACTCCCGCACCCGTGCAGCCTCACTTCGTTGGTGCTTTGCCTTCTGATGCTACTTTGAATCTTGCACGACACCGAGGCTGGGTGAAGGCCCCCAGTCCCTGCCAGTGCTCCCGCCTGGAACAATGACGGACTGCATTTGTAAAACAGTGTTTTCCAGATTTGTTTCCTTTTAAAGTCCCCTGAAGAAAATTTGTTAATCCTTCCCCCTTTCTATTTTTATGATGACAATCAAAGCTGGCCCAAGAAACACAAATGTGTAGCTTTTTAAAAAAATGATCAATGATATCCTTAAAATGTGGTCTGCCAATCTGTACACAAAGGTCCTATTTTTGTGAAGAGGGACGTAAGGTAAAATGATGTTATACATCAATATGTATATATGTATTTCTATATAGACTTGGAGAAGACTGCCGAAACCTTTATGACAAGCTGTATCACTGCCTTTGTTTATATTTTTTTAACTGTGATATTCCCCACAGGCACATTAACTGTTGCACTTTTGAATGTCCTAAATTTATATTTTAGAAATAATAAAGAGAAAAATACTTACATGTCCCCCAAACGGCGGTGTGGTGAGTGTGTGAGAGGGACTAACCGGATGGGGAGGGTCTGCCCACACGAAATGTGTTACAAACGCCCCGCTCATGGTTTATTTTAAAGCGTGTAAATGAAGATCTTTATATTTCAATAAATGATATATATATATATAATTTAAAGTTATGCTGAGGTTCCAGCATTTGTTTGGTTTTTTAGTTTAATCATGAATATTAAAGCAATCCTGTTCAACTTGCGTTCTTAGCAACGTTTCAGTGAGTTTCTATATTATGCTTTTGATGAACCAATGAAGAGTTTAAGGTTCAAGATGTTCTTTGAACTAGTTGGTTTTCAGACGCAGCGTTAGAGTAAACGTGATTGGCACTTGGCTCGTCTTTCATTCTGTCTTTTTGTTCTTATTTTGGGGGGTTTTTCTTCTGAATAAGGAAGACAGGCCTACATTTACTCTGCATAGCATTTGAACAGTGCAGGAGTATACAAGGTATAATGGTGAATCCTTTTTTTTTTTTTTTCCAAATATACCTTCTTCCCTGTCCCTGTCTTATTTCCTAGAGACAAAATTACATGATTTGGTGGTTGTTTTTACTCTTTCAGTCCCTTGCCAATGCATCTGTGTATACCTGTGTATTTTTGTTTCACATTTTGCCTGAACAGGATTGCGCTCTATGAAATGTTTTATAATGTGCCATTTTTAAAAAATAGACAATTGAAAGTTTTAGTTTCATAACAAAATATGAGACGTGATTTAAAATATACAGTGAAAGTTTAAATTTGTAATAAAATTTATTACAGTTAGAAGCATGTTGCCATTCATCTCCCTCAAAATCCGCCCCCTGGCTTGAGCCACTTTCTGCAGCAGCTCTGGAGGTGCTCTTTCCTGAGTGTCTTCGCTTGAGCTGTGGCTGCCCGAAGTCCTGAACTGATTCACAGTGTTTATCTTTTACGATCATTTTGATTTGAGGGAAGAGCCAGCAGCTGCGCAGGGCCAGATCTGGTGACTAAAGTGGATGAGGATGTGCCATAATTTTTTATTTTGCAGAAATTGCCATAAACATTTGATTGAAGGGCAGTCATAAAATAATGTTTAAATTTTAAAAATTTGTTAAAGCACAAGATACACTGCCACCAGTCCCCTTCAGAATACTCAGGATAGTCCCAAACACACTTACCCAAAGGGTTTTTGCAATGTGTCTTTTATTGTAATACGTTTTGTTGACATCTAAACGTTCACTCTATCTTTCAATTACTTCCTGTGGAGTAGAAGTTAGAAATTTCCCATATGCCCCTGCTCTAACTCCTGCCCAGTGTCCTCTGTCCTCAACATTCCCTAGCAGAAAGGTTCACTGTTACACTGCTGAGCTTGTACTGATGGCCTGTACCCACAGCTACATAGCTTTTTCTTTTTAATGCTACAATTTCTGGGAGAAGTATGTGTAGGTAGGTCTACATTTTTTAAAATCAGCTTTATGGTACCCCATGATATTAATGTACCATAATTTATGTGATCACATTCCAGTAAAATAGATTTATAGTTTCTAAACCTTGGCTAGAAAAATGACTCCAGTACATCCTTGCAGTACCTCCTTCTGCACGTGTAGCAGTATTTTGTTCCAATAGATTCCCACAAATACGGTTGCTAGGCCCAAAGGTGTGCAGAAATAAATTGGTGCTGAGCTCAAGTCTTCAATAAATTCCTGTCTGCACGTGAATCACTGGCTTTGCGGATCCTCGCTTCCTGCTCTCCTACACCCTGTGCTGCTCAGGAATCAATCTTCAAAACAGAAGAGATGTGTTGGGGTAAGTGTGAGAATATGTGGGCTTTGTTTTCTGAAGCAGCTGATGCCAATGACTAGGATATTTTTAAAAAATGATGCAACTCACCTATTTGCAACTCATAGATATTGGAAATTACGTGAACTGTAAGATAGCACCCTCTTCCAGTATAGCCCCTGATTCCCCAGATCCCAAAAGCCTGTAGATCAAAGCTCCCTAGGAAGGAGCCAGGTCACCGAGAACAATAATCCTGCTGATAAACAATAGCTGCCTTCTTGTCTGGGGAGATCATTTTGTTCTCTTTGTAAAAATGTATAATTCTACTTCTTAATACAGTGCAGATCTGCCTACATCATTTAGTCGTGATAAAATAAAAGTGACTTATTGGAGAGTATTTAAACCCTCTGACAGCTCTCACACTGTTTCAGATTCTTACAGTAGGCTATAGTGGTTAATTCTTGTAATGGCAAAGAAACATTTTACAGGTGAGGAAAGCAGGGTTGTGCAAGACAAATGACCCCTGAAAATCACATAGCCAAGTAATGATGGAACAGGGTTAGAAGTCCCAAATACACTGACCCTACTGTTGTTTGTATGACAGCAAACCATGGGAAAAGCAAGAGGGGCTGGGAAATGTCAGTGTTCAGTAGTTCGCTATACTTTGATATTTCCAAATACATGCAGTTGACTCATCAGGCTGTAGAACTATTTTCCACATTTGTAATCAGAACAATTTCTTCTCTGGCTGTAATGCAACAATTGCAATAGTGGGTATTATGATTTTTTTTTTTATTTTAAAGCATACAAAAGGACAACATAGCAATAGGGGAATTCACTGAATTACAGACAAAGTGGTAGGACATTATCAATGGTTGTTATTTTACCTATTGGTATCTTCAAGATAGTTTCTCAGGAAAACAAATAGACAAATAATAGTGAGTTACAGACAAAAATGGCAAGAAATTATCAATGGTTGTTATACTGTAACTTTGATTCTCCAAAGTGATCTCTAGGGAAAACAATTAGAGCTATACATGAGTGATCAATAAAATAATCATTGGCTATTCTTAGTGGTTGTTGTTGAAAACACATAGTAACAAACACACATCCATTTACGAAATAGCATAGGAACAATACAAACATTACAGAGTTATGGACAGATTGGTAGGAAATCATCAGGGGCTGCTGCAATGCATGTTGGCATCCTCAAAGTTGTTTCTCAGGAAAACAAAGATATGCAAGAAAGATCCAACAAGTAGTTACAGCCCAAGGATGGTATTATGATTTTAATAGTGATGTACTTCATGAACTGCAGCTCAGGAAAACGGCCTAGAATATCTGAACCCATCATAAACCAGGCAATTTTCCCTAGGATAACAGCAATAAAAATGCTTCATTATCTCCTAATACATGTAAGGATTAACTTTAACCGTATTGTTATAGCCAGATAGATACACAGTATTTATAAGAGACTCAGCTTTTTCACCCCCATAATTAAAATATATGTAAAAATATTCATTAGCCACTGATAACATGCTGTTCCACCTGGTTACATGAATAGCACCCATGTCCTAAAGAATAACGAATGTAATCTCCAAAATATATTCATACGTGGGTAACGTTTCCATCACCCGCACTCTAGTTTACATATATAGTGATGGAGACATCGAGGGCACATGGTCTCACATGGCAGGGGGAACATATTTGCTCCCTGTTTCTGGTGTATAGGCTAATTGGAATTTTAAAAAGACTTGCCACACTACCCTGGCAGATGGCATTTTGCTTTATCATTATTCATGGGTATTAATGACTTCCCTCTGGAGCATGTGTATCCTGTCTATTTTGAATTTCATTGCATTTCATGCTGACTGCTCCAAACAGAATCAGATCCAGTATTTTCTATGTGATGCTTGAGCTGCAGATCACTGAGTTGGTCAAAGTTTTGATCAGGAATTAAGTAACTCCTTGAAATCAAGGAAGCCTTTTTTCTTCTCTGTCCTTAGTATGCGATCATATTCCTCATCTTGTTCAGCTCACTGTCCCACAGGGCGGTGTGTAGGATCAGGTGTACACAAAGACACTTCCAGGGTGGATGCATCTTTCATTAGCCTGCGTTGATGAGACGCCCTTTCTTTCTCTCTGGAAAGGCGGGGGTGTGGTTTCCTAAATGAAGAAAATGTATGACAACAGATGTAAAGATCTGGCTGCAGAAGCCCATTTTCAATTAATTCCTTCCACCAAATATTTATCACAGAGCAGGTTTTTCTCTGTTGAGGTGATGTCTAAACCACTTCAACTTTAATGAGGCGGCTGGCAGAGTTCAGTCCAGCCAGCCGACTCCCTGGAGGGACAGCTATATCACAAAACAGCAGGACAGAGCAGAAAACTGTGAGAGGTGGCGGACACAGTCCTTCCTTGGGGTGACAAAGAGCTGGAGAAGCAGGGTACAGCATGCAGCTTCCTGAAGGCTTCTGATAACACTGGAGCTTTTCTGCTACCAGGGACACAAAATGGTGTCACTGCGTTTGAGAGCAGGGAACAAGGGCTAGGGCAGCCTGTGCCCGCAGCCCGTCTCCTTGCTGGGGTTCCGGACACTTCCATGTCTACCTTTACATCTGCTCTTCCAAATTTTTATTCCTCCATCCTTCTGGTTTATTGAGCAAGGCACTGTTAGGCCCTCAGATCTAGCAGTTAGAGGGACAGAAAAGCCCCTAGGCTGAGGAAATAGCGCCTCTTCAGAGCAGAGCAAAGATCAGTTTGAGGTACAGTATAACAAAGACCATGTCCCCTGCAGGGACAGAGCTTGGCCAGATTTCCTTATGGCTCATCAGAGAAGACTGAGATTTTTTTTAGTGCAGTACTTTCTCACTATGCAGGAGGCATCGGTTCCAGACGCCCCTGCAGATATCAAAATCCATAGCAACAAATGGAAACCAGAGAAATACCACTTACAATTCCTGTATGAATGACGACATGGAATTTGCATATAACTTACACACGTCCTTCTGTATAGTTTTAAGTCGTCTCTAGATTACTTGGAACCCTTAATACAGTGCAATTCTACACAGTAATTATAGAGAAGAATAACAAGGAAAAGGTCTGGACATGTTTAGCACAAACGCAGTTGTTGTACGCTTCTACAATAGCAAGGACACAAGCAAGTTGGGAGGTAAACAAAGGCCACGGGAGTGCGCAGAAGCGCCGGCGGTGCGAGGGCAGAGGCGCCGCGCAGCACTGCGCTGCAGGGGGTTCAGTGCGGCACTGAGCGAGGCTGCTGCAGATTTTACTTTCAGGATGTTTTCATCTGTCCTGGGGTGAATCTGTGGATGCAGAGCCCATTGATCCAGAGGGCTGACTGTGCTTTATAGTTTGTTAGTGCACTTACATACTAT